ACACTGGGCCCTGAGATATAAACAAGACGGAGTTCAGCTCTCGCAGCGCTCTGACTATTGGCAATGAGACATAGGCAATGCCACGTCAGGTGCTACTGAATAAAGAAAGTATCATTAACAATAGCTGCCCAATACTAATAGCTACCAAACACTCAGCATTTTATGTATGGACTCAAATCGACGCACTGCCATCGAGTCGATTCTGACTCATAGCGAGGGCAGAGGGCAGAACGACCCCTGTGGTTTTCTAAGGCTGTAACTCTTCAGAGTGGGAAGTCTCGTCTATAACTCCTTATGTCCTCAGAGCCATCTTGGGAGGTAAGGTCCTACTGTGACCCTCTCCCTACCGATGAGGAAATGAAGGCACAGAAAGGTTAAGTGGCTTGCCTAGGGTCACACAGCTATTCAACTGCAGAGACTGAATGCAAATCCAGACAGTCACCTCCAGAGTCCTTGGACTCAACCATCACGCTACACCGCGTCATGGGAACAAGGCAGGCAGGAAAGGCCACTTCTGGCTGTAGGAAGAGGACGCTTCCTGCAGGAGACAGCGTTAGTGTGTCTTGGGAGATGGGTAGCGTTTTATGAGGTAGAAATGGGGGAAGGATTGTGTCAAGGCAAGGGAACGCATCCTTGGTTTGGGAATTTGCAAGACTTTCTTTTTTTAACTTTTTAATGTGAATCGGGTGAAGGTTTACAGAGCCGCCCATCAGGTTCACATTGGACCAGGAGGCACCTTCTGTTTCTGCTCATTCACGGCAATCCGCCCATCGCGTGTGCCCTTGTGTTTCCCGTGTCCACTCCTCCACCTTTCCTCTGTCCTTGGGGAAAGGGTCGATCCTTCTAAGATGTGCACGTATTGATCGACAGTGCCGTTGTCCCTCTGACAGAGCGTGGGGCACGAAGGGGCAGTGAAGTCTTGGTGGGGGAAATAGGCAGGGGCTGAACGGACTATGGGGGTCAAAACGCCAGCAAGGGTTTGGGCTGGAGTTGGTCACCATCCGGGAGCCACCGAAGGTTCCAGAGCAGTGCAGGCTCAGGCAGCAAACTGGGAGGGTAGACTGGAGAGGGTGGGGGTGGCAGGACCCGGATGATGGAGATGTTTTCATAATCCAGGGGAGAGCGTCACCCTCTAGGAGAGACAGTGAGATAAGAGGAAATAAGCTGAGAGATTGTAGAAAGCGCTCGTCGGGACGAGGTGTGGGATGAGGACATGGAGAGGAGTCGAGGCCATGTCTCCTGTTTGGACACAGGGATGGAGACTGTTAACTCCGATAGGGAAGACAGGAACAGGCTTGGCAGAGGAAAGGGGGCAGATAAGGTTCCTGAGGACGTGTAAGGAATTTATCTCATTCTCAAGCCAAACCAGCAAGATTTTCTATTACTTGATGCTCTGCTCAGGAATCCTTAACCCTAACTGCTTTCAAATTGTTCTGCGACCTTTTGTCTACTAGAATTGAGAGATGCAATTGTTGTGAGGGGTTTTAGAAAAGCTACCTTTAATGACTCGACTCTGTCCTCGAAGGCTATAATGTGGTATAATTCCATCAAGAGGACAGGAAAGCCAAAAGGTAGTTTCTTTGTTCAAGGAATTCAAAGCAAAGTGGAGTGGGGAGTAATAGGGAAAGGCAAGAACTGTTGTCCAACTTGGGCCAAAGGTAAAACATCCTAGAATTGAATTTGAAGCCATTAACAGTTTAGGATTTGCTACTCTGATTCTAAAGAAATGAGTTGACCTTTGGGCAGTGCCCTGTGCTAGACACTGCAGGAGAGACAGATTCTATGCTCAGAAAGGTGGTGTGGTTGACACTGTTGTAACTCAAAGGGTGGTCCATGGGCCAACAGCATCAGCAACCCCAAGAAGTTTATTAGCTACCTCAGGCCCCAACTCCGGTTTCTTCAACTTGCAATGAGACTGTGTACCTTCTACCCCATTGTACTATGGAAGCAGGCAACTTGTCTAGATTTCACAGGTTGACACGAGGGGTTTTGCCCCAGCATTAAATACACCTAGTCTCATTCATATTTTACTTCGATGACTTAGAAGATGAGCCTTTTAATTTGGAGCTGATTCCAGACTTTGGGATGATGTGATGAGGTGAATGTTTTTCCCACGTGGGAAAGACATGAATTTGGGGAGGTAAAGGATGGAATGCTATGGATGCGATTGCGTCCTCTCCCAACCGGTGGCTATCATGCCATTTGGGGATGGTTGTCTTTGCTATGTTAATGAGTTTGGATTCATGGAGGCTGTGCCTTGAATCCATCTCTTTTAATATCGGAGGTTAAATAAGCACGGTACAAAATAAAAATGGGAGATATGCCAAGCCACTAAGTTTTCCTGTCCAAATTGAAGTTTGGAAGAGGTAAGGACCTTCTTCCAGAGCTGATGGAGCGCCTTCCCCTACAGCTGGCACTCTGAATTCAAAGTCCCACCTTCCGCATTTGTGAGAACATACATGTTAAAGGCACCCAATCATAGTACTCCTATTAGAGCTAGGTAAGATAGGAGTCAAATGGCTCATTGATTTTTAGCTAACTTATACCCTGATGGAAGTTATCTGTGCTTTCTACCTTACCTGATATTCTTTAATGAATATTCTCAGCACCACCATCACCCTCAGGCCTGAACCAGAATTTGCATATCCCCAGGAATTTGTTCCGAGTACTGGGTTTGGAATCACTTGTATCTGGGTTTTAAATGTTGGCTGAAGCACGTCCTACCTACTTACTGGAAGAAAACCCTGCCAATCAACTTCCCCCAAATCTGAAACCCACTGCCCTTGATTCCAATTCATAGTGACCCTGTAGGGCAGGGCAGAACTGTGCTTGTGGGTTTCCAAGAGTATAACTCTTTATAGGGGTAGAAAGCGTCATCCAAGAAGCTGCTGGTTGTTTTGAACTGCTGACCTTGCAGTTCGTAATCCACTACACCACCAGGGTTCAACCAAGGGAAATTCTACCCATCTCAAGAAAATCCCCACCGGATCAAGGGGGTGGCATAAGACCAGCCAGTATACATTTGTGCCTAAGATCACCATGAGCTAGGGACTAACTTGATGACAGCTAACCACATACACGTTAGTTACACACCAGAAGAGCCTAGCTAGCTTTCAAAAACCTCCATGCCCAAGTCACAGCCTGGACTAAGTTCTGACTTTGAGAGCAGGGCCTAGCTATCAGTATTTGAAGGTCCCCAGGTGATTCCAGGCTGCACCCATGGCTGAGAACCACCTTGACTTTATGGGACAGGAATGTGGCCCCTGGAACCAGATAATCTCCATCTGTCTTCCCGATCTATCACTTCTTACATACAATGATGGCAAGAGCATCTTCGCTTCTCCCTACATAGGACAGTTCTGAGAATTCAGTCTGGGCATAGAATGCACTTGGCACGATGCAGTATTTGTTACTTATGCAAATCCCAGCATCATTTGCAGAAGGAACCTAGGAAGAAAAACACAGCTCAAGGTCTCACGTCAATGTCAACTTGCAGCCAGGCTCATACGTGACCCCGTCGGAGGTGACTTTCAAAGACTTGGCCTAGACAAGGTTAAAGGATGCTGCCTGGGCTATGTAAGAAAACACACGAGCCTCATCTTTTTCTCTATGAGACTGGGAAATATGAGGCCACAGTGGCTGCCAAAGAACTTCTGGAGAATTGGTGGGAGTTCACACATCCAAAAGGGCGGAGGAGGGTGCAGTGGGGCGGGGGTGGAGAACACAACAGGCTTTTTAACAGCTGTGTGATCACTTTGTGCCTACACTGGGCCTGATCTAATGCCTCACAGCCCTCTCCTCCTCACATAATTCTAGAATGGCAAAACTGGAAGGGCCTTCAGAAAGACTTGTATCCAACTCTTTTACTTTCTAGAGCTCTGCAAATGAGACACTCGGGCCCAAGGAGTGGAGGTGGCTGACGTAGGGTCAAATGGGATTTAAGGCCACAAGCAGAAGGTGTTATCACGGTCAGATGTGGAGGAAACAGCCTAGTCGTGAACACGGACTTCAGTGGGGGGAAACAAAGGACATTAACAGCGCTTTGAACCAAACTGCTTTATAAACACTTGAGGCTTTAACCTGCCCAGGAGGTAGATAAGCATGCTCCCTTTAGTTTGTCCTCAAATTCAACCTCTTGTAAGAGGTTAAGGAACACACCCAAGGTTGGAATTGACACTCGGACCTCCCCACTTCCTGGCTTTGGAGCTGGGAGTTCAGCCTCCAACTCCCTGGCCTATCAGGAAAAACATCTGGGTTATAATGCTTAAGGATGGGATACCAAGGGGAAGTGGTGGAAGCTGGGTTCTTTAAGAAACTTTGAGCAAAAGTGCGTAAGACCCAGCCAGGAGGCCCCTCCCGTGTCGAGTCAAAGGCTCAAACATGTCTTCTCCTCGCCTGTTGTACATGCTGCCCTTGTATGACCTTCAGGGAAATGGGTTTGTTAGGTTGTTGGATGGGAAGAAAGTAAGTGAAGACTTCAAAATGTGTGAGCCTAGGCCCTGAAGAGCTGGCTCAGGTGACCTCTGCTTTCCATCGCCATTTCTCCACAACCCAGTGTGGCTTCCCTGCCGTGCTGGGGAAGGGCTCCTTAGACCAGAGAGAGAGAGGAACAGACAGGATTGCAAGAAGAAGCAAGGGGAAGTCCTCTTTAAAGGCCAGAGGTTACATAAAACATAATAAAATACAACTGTTTCCTTAAAATTTTTAATGGCCAGGAAATGGTATAGAATAACTGCCAAGTCACATAAATTAACGTTTGTGTGTGTGATCCCGGAAGAATGCACTATCAGACAATGCGCAGTACACAGGCATGTGCATAGTTGTTGTCCAGGCGTGTGACTGAGCAAGGGCCTCGGACCATCTTCACATGGTCCAGAAAAACAAGCGGCTGCCGTATTTGGCGGGCTTCAGGTCTCCTTCAATCTCCGGGTTGGGCTCTGGTCTCGCTCTTGAGTGATAGGGATTCTCAGGTAAAGGTCGATCTGTTTTCACTTTGGTGACCTGGTGAGGGAACAAGAAGCCAAGGTGAAAGTTAGGCAGCATAGTCGGTAACCGTGAACATGCTTCCTCATGTTGCCTCTGCTCCCGTTGTCCCAACTAGGACGAATTGAAAGCCTGGCAAATCACAGGGAGACACTTCACCCTGGAACAGACGTTTACAAAAGCCCATGCTGTGTCCCCGCCACGTGGCAGAAGTATGGGATACAGGAAGGAACACGATACACGCTAGTCCTCAGCGGGTGGCTCTCCGTCCAGTAAGGGAGACAGGCAAGTCTCTCAATGAAGACTTCCTACCTAGTAGTGCTCCCGGGAGCAAGGACAGTGCACACCTTACCACCCTGAGGGAAAGGGCGTGGCCCACCGCAACCCACCAATGGGAAGCAGCCGACGAGAAATCAAAGGACACACTGCACGGGGCAACTCTGCTGCTGAGACCGCCTTAGTGGTGAAAAGCAACAACGTAGCTCTGAGGGCTAAGATGCGCCGGAGCATGTGATGGTGCTTTCAAGTGCCTCCGACGCACGTGGAACTGGACAACCAACGCGGACGGAAGAAACGAATGTTGCACGTGCATCGTGGCATCAGTGGAGAGTCCGAATACGCAGGACCTGCCAGAACAGGCAAATCTGTCTGGGAAGGAACACAGCCAGAATACTCCCTCGAAGCCAGGATGGCAAGACTTTGTCTCAAGCACTTTGTACATCTCATCCCGAGGAAAGGGGCGTCGGGCTTGGAAAAGCAGCCTGTGACAAAGGAGACAGACTGACCCAGCGGCTGCAGCGACGGGGACCAGCACAGCCGCAATCGTGCGGACGCCCAGGGCCAGGCCCTGCTCGGGTCAGTTGTAGGCTGGTGGACTGCTGAGCCAGGACGGACACGAGCTAGCTAGGTCAGAGGGAAGCCAGCCAAGCAGAAGTGTGCTCCCATGAAGACATGTGTGTCTTCAGAATACATGAAGCCAAGGCTGGACGCAGAGTGGCATGCGACAGGCACTGACTGTGCTTGCAGCGAGGCAGAGACCATGACTCCATTGTATCTTCATCCTCACCTCCCAAGGTCATTTTGCAGAGGTTCACTGGGCTCACCTAGCTAACAAATACACCAGGAATCAATGCAAAGCTCCCCTGAGCCTTGAGAGAACATTCACCACTGTGAGCAGGGGCTCGAAAGGGAAGGGTACTGAATGCTACACGAACACACTGGAATTGTATCCTGATGGGAGCAGTTGTCACCGAGGCAGGAAGTAATGCAAGCAAGTCCATAGACTGCAAAGGGTTGCTTCTGCCAGACTGGAGAGGGGCAAGACCAGATCGAAATGATGAGTCAACAGATCAGACAAGATGGTGAAGCACTGAACTAAGGCAACAGAGAGGGAGATGAAAGATGTCTGCACCCGTATTATGATCTGATGTTCACGATAACCCGACAAGAAGCCAGCAGAAATTGTTCTCATTGTAAAGATGACGAAACAGAGCCAGAGCAGTGAAAAGACATGATGCTACAGTTATTGATAGTCTTCTTACAGTTACTCTAGTGGTCTGAACTCCAACCCCAGAACCCCGCTGCCATCGGGTGGATTCCAACTCAGAGACCATGCAGAACATAGCAGAACTACTCTGTATGATCCCCACGGCTATCAATCTTCATTTGAACAGCTAGTGGGTTCAAACTTGACTCCAGCCTTTCAGCTTGCATCGGCGTGCTACATACATACACGCACACATTCAGAAATTATTTCTTGTGAGCAGAGCTTTCATGTACACATGTGGTCAAGTGTCAGGATTGTCTTGGCTTTAACACAAGTCTTCTGACTATGAGCCTAGAGTGGTTGTTCATGTGTTTTCAAAGCCTTTTTCTCACTTCTCTGCCATCACTAGAGATCACCAACGGGTCCTTATTGCTTAATAGAGTAATTTCAAATACCTCCAGTAGTTATTGTAAGCTCTTTCAAGAACTCCACGTATCGACTACATGTGGGAATATGGTTCTCAAATGTACATAAGAGGATTTTTAAAAAAGAAAATTACTGTGTATAGAAAAGGTGTGGGCAGAAAAGCACACAAACACCCACCATTGGGGGTTGCCTCTGGGTAGGTTGCCTGAAGCTGATATTTCTTTTCTTTTATAGACTTCTCTGTATTTACTGAAATGTTCACAATGGACAGGCATTATTTTTACCATCAGAAACAGCAATAAAGCAACTCCTCTTCTCCACCACCCTCCCAGGAGCAAAAGCCTGTGTTTGAACTACTTAGTAGGTAAAGAGTCTTGAACAAGCCTATTTAACCTTGAATGGGGTCTACTGCATAGTAGGTGTGCCCTAAGTTATTTTGAAAATGATTGCCTGGAGGGTAGGATGATGGGAGAGAAAGCAATTCTGCCTCTGGAAGTCAGGAAGTCCAGGAAGACACAGAGGAGTGGAGACTAGCTGAGGGGTGAGGGGGATTCAGCAGGGAAGCCCGCAGGGAAGGGCAGGCCAAAGGAACTGGAGTTGCACAAGCAAATGAAGCTAAGGATCGTGGCTTTCCTTGGCTGTCACCTTTCTAAAGGGTTAAACATTGGATTTAAGTATTAAAAACTGACAAATCCTCTTAAAGAAATAAATCTTTCAAAGAGTTAAAACAGTAACATTTGCTTTTTCTTTTATTATTAATATAGTATCTTTATTATTAATTTGTTATTATTATAGTATTACAGTTTTTTAAATGTCAAAGCAAAGACTCAGGAGAACAGAGGAGCTTCAAAAAATTTGTGAGAAAAGTGAGTTAAAAGACAATGGAAATTTTCCATGAACTTTAGGAAGCCCCTCAGAAAATGTACCTTTAAATAATAGGATTTCTCACTCTGCTTCCATGAGAGACAAAAGCGAAGGGGGAAAAGGCACTGTTGTTGTTAAATATGTAAGTTCCACTATACTCCAACTTAGAATCAGAAATACTTAACTTGTTTGGTGCCTCCAAAGAAGCCATCTGGAGACAAGATCATCAGGTATTTTTTTAATCCCCAAACTTTTAAGTCATTCTCTGCCGGGGACCTGACTCCCCCCAGAGGCTACACACAACAGAGGAAACCAATGGTGAGTCTCTGGGGCAGGCATGATGCTTCTAAGGGCTCACTTACTTGATCCTCACCCAAACATACGCATTAGCAGCTCCAGCTTGTGGGAGCAGGAGGGCCAGACACAGCGAGCAATCCACTCACGATTCCAGAGCCACCAAGCAGTGGAGCCGGGAGTCAAATCTCTCGTTTCAAACAGAGCTGTACCCTCTCTCTCAGCTATGCAGCCCGTGCTCTCCCCTCAGATTGCAGGGTGGTGAGGCACAAGGAGCAGGGAAGGCTCAGAACTCCAAGGGCGTGGAATGCCACGGTACAGAAAGGATACTTTCTCTTATAATCAACGGGGAACTCCTGAAAGGTGTTAAGTGACATTTCTTTCCCGCATCATTCCTACAGTGACCATGTGGTCGTATCCTAAATTCTTTGGATTTAAAGGATGCCCTGTCTTCTACAGCTCACACGGAGTCACCCTCTCCTGCAGGAGCTCATGGAGCCCAGGCTAAGACGTCCTGTTTGGAAGTAAGACACCGGCAGAGAAGGCTATCCCAGGGCAGGCTAATCGATAGAAACGGGCGAGTCTCTAGAGGGAGAAGGGTAGTTATGCAACAGACAGCTAACTGAAGGGGCAGCAGTCCACAACCACAGGACGCTCTGCAGGAGAAAGACAAGGCTGTGTGCTCCTGTAAAGATGCGCAGCTTCGGCACACCAAAAGGCCCAGTCTACCCTGTCCTCCAGGGTCACTCTGAGATGGAGTCAACTCAATGGCAGTGATGGAGCGAGAAGGAAGGGGAGGGGAGAATAAAGGCATCCACGTTTCTAGTTCTGACGTATCAACAGATGGTGGTACCACCAGCGACACACAAACTTCAAGAGTAGGAAAAACACTGTTACGGTGGGCACGGACTTTTTAATTATCTTAGCTATAAAAAAGCCACCATAACCTCAGATCATATTCTGCACTGAATTCTACAACTGCCTCAACGATATTTGCAAATGGCGGTGCCCCCAGCATTTTGTTTATCACCTTCTACACTCTCCCATTCTTTAATGAGCTAATTAACCAAAACCAAATCTGCACATGCCACAAGATCTACTTCAAGAAATATTTCTATTCAATAAACTCCCTCTGGATGGTGTTTAATCACTTGCTAATTAGCCTGTTCAGGAAACTGGGATTTCTCACACCTCATCTGTTCCCAGGGACTCTCTCGTGAGCAGCGTCTGCCTTTAGCCAGCCGCGGTCAGTGAGACCACCGCAGCAGATGTGGTGCACTTGACTTCAGTTACCTTTGACAGCTCTCCCAGGTCAGGGCGCACCCAGCCCAGTTTGTCCAGCACACACTCGTCAAACCTCGCCTGCTGCTTGCGACAGTGACGGAATAACTGCAGGCCGGAGTAGTCGATGCAGGTCCAATACTCTGTAAAAGGCTCCGCACAGTGACGCTTTATCTGCCTGGGAAAGGAGGGCTGGGTTAGGCTTGTGACTGAGTGCCCTCGAGCCAGTTCCAGCTCACGACCACCCTTAGGTGCAACACAACGAAACCCTGCCCGGTCCTGCACCATCCATCCGCACAATTGTCGTTACGTGTGAGCCTACTGTTGCAGCCACTGTGTCCGTCCATCTCATGGAGGGTAGGGTTAGAGCAGTGCAAAACCCTGCAAACAGGAAAGTGGGGGACAGCAGTACAGACCCAGCAGTACAGTCCATTCTTTGAATGGACGAGTTGAGCAAACACTCCCTCCCACCTTACTTACAAGACAACGTAAAGTCAACAAGAAAGTTTTAAGGGGCAGACACTAACTGCTTTATTTGGCAAATACAAAAAAGAAAGGCCAAGACTTTACCTGCATGTGCATGTACCGTATCAAAGAGGAACTCTTCACCTGGGGCCTATTTAGTCTCCCCCGTGACGGGACTCTAAAGATTATCAGGGCAGGAGATTGAGGAGATGGCAGCACAGTCACAGGCGGGCATGCAGACAGATGTCAGGAGTGACAGGTGATGGCCCAAACCAGCAGAATGATAACAAGCAAATCAGTAAGCTAACTAAAAAGCAGAATAGAAAAAATATACAGCCAAACTGCCCCTCAAGCCTCAAAAACTCAATCTCATTCTACTACTGCACTGACCAAAACAAGCAAGCAAGCCAACAAACATAAACACAGAGACTGTGTCCTTGCTATCGAGAAGACAGCTAAAGTGTATTTGGTGTTCTCGATTATGAAGTGGGTAGCACATCATTCATTTTGTCTATCAAAAAAGAGTGGGATTCAAATTAAACAAACAAAAAAAAGAGGGTGGGGGAAGGCACCTTAATGTAAAATGGATACTTCAGTTAGTTGTAAAATTTCCTTCACTCTTCATTCAAGCTTGCTAACAATCAAACAAATGCAAAGTCAAGTAAGAATAAAATAGCATTATTTCATGAAAAAGCATATCAGAGGCAGTGGAAGAAATTTAGAGCACCTCCTCCCCCAGAAGAACAATAATTATGGAGTACCTGTTTGCAACATTCCAGGATGTTCTGGTCGCACAAACAACACCCAAGCCTTACTTAACATGCCCAAGGATGAACCCCAGAGACGGCCTCGGGAAGCCCCTCCATTCACTTCACAGATGACAGCACGAAGGGCTTCAGAGGTCAAGTGAATTAGCCAAAGTCTCATTCCCAAATTTTCAGTCTCTCACCACAGCAGTGAAACCTTTGCTTTAAAAAGTAAAAGACTCAAAAGAATCGTTTCTATTTCAAAAGAAAGAAAAGACTGACAAGCGAACACTGAGTGAGAATGTGTACCTTAGAAGCATATAAATTGCATTTTAGAATGTGTAAGCAGCTATTTAATGTGCAACTAATGCATCTCTCCCCATTCCAAGCAAGAAGAATGAAGACAATCAAAGGCACAGGGCCACATTAGTGCAAAGGACTAATGAACTATGCAAGCCCCAGCCTCCAGGACCATGAGCCCAGAAGAGCTAGAGGGTACCAGGGTACCACTTCTGACTGCTCTGAAAGGATTACAATAGGAAATCCAGGAGACAGTAAGAGAGAAATATGGAAAAAAACTCAAAATAATAAAAAACCACAAGCTTCTTGGTCTGACAAAGAGACTGCGGGAACCCTCAAAACAATGGCCCTTACACACCTATCAGGACTGGAATGGAACTCACCTCTCTGACTCAACTTCGAGCGCAACGACAGAAAGGCCCGTCAGATAAATAATAACACCAGAGAGAAGCACACTCCTCAGACAACCAACCACGTGCAATAAAAAGGGCAGCATTTTCCCAGGGGCAGAACTCAGCAGGCGGGAAGGAATGAGAGGCCATGGAAATGGTAAACACAGAAAAAGGGAGAACAGTGCTGTGACATTGTGGGGATTGAAATCAGTATCATGAATCAAAGTGAGTTTGACTCGTTGAATGAAAAACCAAATTGCTCTGTAACCTTTCATCCAAATCACACCAAAAAAATTTTTTAATTGCATTTTTGTTATGGTATGTCTTTGGAAATGGGAAGTAGATATGGATAAAACTGAGTCAAACTGTTATCGTTACAGGGATCTGTACTTTCACAGCATCCTAAAATACAATGAAGCCTTTGCTTTTTCAGGAAAACAAACAAACTGGGAGGGGAAGAGGAGGCAAGAGTATCATGCAGTGAAAACTCAGGTTCCTGTTGCAGCTTCTCAGTTTCCCCTTTAAGAGGCAACTAACATCACCAGTCCCTTGGGGCCCTTCCAGGTATCCTACACATACAGGGCAAGGGCAAGGGGCTGTAGCAGGTAGGGATCTAGGGCCTAAGGCGTTCTTCTGAGTTCCTCTAACCTCAATCACCTGGATCTCCATGGTCCACCACCCTGCACCCACCTAACCCCTACATGAGAATCATGCTGGTACTGAGCTATCATTTCCAATGAGCTGCAGCACAAGAAGGAAGGGCCAACACCCCCACTCTGGTAGTTAAGTCCTTGCTCTTGACTCTGTGACACCTACACCCCAATACGTACTTCCCAGGGCCTCCACCAGCAACTATACCACAAAAAACAAAAACAAAACCAACCAACCATCCAACCAACCAAACAAAAAAACGCTCAAAACACCAAACTCACTGCCCGCGTCCATTCTGACCCATTGCAGTGAGAAATTCCTCTTATGGAGGGAAGCACGTTAGGAGTTTGCCTTATCTCAACACTTCCCATCTAACAGTCCTAGCTCTGAGTCAACAACCAAGTGTTTCACCAAAGTTCCCTTAGAAAATGCAATTTAAAAAATTAAAAATTAAAATTAAAAAAAGAAAAGAAAATTTAAAACTAAACAAACTTTGCTATAGTAATCAATTCAATACAAATTCAAGCAAGAATAAGATACTTTTCTGTACCTATCAGGCACTGATATACTATGCAGTGTGCTGAGGTAGTGATACTAGGATACAGTGCTGAGGCCAGCATACACTGATCAAACTAAAAAAAATATGACAACATAGTTCAAGAATCCTAAGTAATTTTCAAAGCCTTTGATAGAATAACCTCACTGCCAGTGATGTAAACCAAAGAATCCATTAAAAAGTGAAAAATCAACTATAATCAAAGGCAATCACTGCAGTTATCCATAGCACTAAGAAACTAGTCGGGCATATTGCGGTTAAGAGCATTATAGACTCAAGAAAAATGATGCTCATGAAACCTATGCACTGACTTGAATAAATGTCCGCAATAGTGTCTGTCCAAGGCAAAGTGAATCAGAACCACAGAAATCATATTGTACGTGGATGATAAGGAAAGCAAGGATGTGCTACAGCACTTAATTTTCTCCGTGCACATTACTGTAGTGCACATCAGTGGGCTTTGCCTAGACAGCTGTCACACTGGCTCTTCGATTACATCCTTCCTAATTTCCCTTTAGGGAAAGAATCCCTTCTTGTCCCTTAGTGATGTCTTCTGGGACAAACCACCCAACTCCCACTCTACCTCAGGCCTGACCAACCTGAGCCTTTTGGAACTTGAAACACATCTGGTTCAAACACACGCACACCAAGCCAATCAGCTGGGGCAACCAGACTCGGGCCTGAGACCTCCGGAGGCACACTTTGTCTAGGGTCCTTTTGCTACAGTAAGGCAAGAGACTTTGAGAGGGAGGTCAACAAAGAAAAGCAGTGCTAGGAGATGGGCTTGGGGAGTGGGGGGTGCGTTGCAGGGAGAGGAGAGGCAAAAAGACAGTAAGTAGTTGTGAAATTATTTAAGCCCTTGGATCCACCTGAGACAGTTGCCACTTTTATTTCTGGACTTTGTAGTCTCGTGAGTTTTAGTTGTGTTTCTGTCCATTTTAATAGCGTTTTAACTAATACAAAGAAGTATCATTTCTACAACTTCATACGATAAAAAAAAAAAGTTAAATTATCAAACACAGTGGCCTAGCTACACACTTGACTTTGAACACAATTTTCCTTCTAGCACAATGCGTTCGGTAGTAACGGTAAGAACAGTAATAGCTGCAAGTGACGAGCTAACAAATGCCAGCTGAGTAGCACGGTGACTTCGCAATCTTGTAATGACAGCTATTACTTCGCAGATTCGGAAGTCAAGATTCATGGAGATTAACGAAGTGGCCAAATGAAAACCCCAATAAAAATAATTATATTGCCTATTTGAATGCTTACCTTGATCTATCTGATTTCAAAGTCTACGCATTTCCTACCAAAATTGGTCCCTAAAAGTATCCTTCCATTGAATTAGCTGGACATTCAGGGAGATAAGCACACTTTGCGGTTTCAAACGGGCATTGAGGTAGAAAGAGTTTTACCTAAAGAAGTCCAAAGCACACTGGTTGACAAGCTTGCCTTCCTCTAAACACCGCCG